GGGGTCTCCAATGAATTGCAAATGTCTTTGATGGTGTTGATTATTACCAAATTCTGTTTTACACAATTCAAGATTTGCAACACTCTTTGAATAAGTGCAACATGTTGGCCCAAAAGTCAGAGGCATTCCAGTCCTTTTGTGGCATAATACTCTTGTAGTCTTTCTGCTCTTCTCCTTCCAGTATTGTGCGTCTTTGTGGAACAGAACGTATCCACAACTTTTTGATTTCCTAAGCACCTTGGTACATATGTTTTGCACATGGATAAGCCCATGGAGAGCTACATATACAGTATATCTTCACATAAAGAGCCACTTATACATATGTCTCATCTCCTAACATGATAGATAAATGGCATGGTCAGTGCCCATTTCCTGCCCTGCGGCAGCTCTCGTGTGCTGTTATCTCAGATTGAACGTTTTTGTTTTAAAGCACAACTAATAATTACCTATCTCCTCAGGGAAGGTAGAATTCTTCACTTCTCTCAACATAGGACCAAAGGATATGAGATTCCTGAGATTGGTCTCAGCAGCCTTTGAACCCTCTAAGGAAAATGTACTCCTCTGCTGAAGACACTGCTATAAAAAGACAAAAATAAATATGTAGCATTAGAAAAACAAGAGTAGGTTACAGGCAATTAACCTGGAATAAGGATGGTGTTCTTGTTTATCATCCAAAATAACAGAAACAATGCACAGAAATAGCAATTGAGATAATACAGGTGCACCTTTCAGATAAATATTTCTAAAACCTGTTTTACTTTATGGTATTTTGTATACTGATAAAAGGACAGCAGCAGCAGAAACATCTATTTCAAATAGAGATGTAGGAATAGGATTTTAGCTTGAAAGCAACATATGTTCTTTTAATCTAAGCAGCCCACTGAGTTGGAGCACTGCAAACAAGGTAGTTGAGAAATTACGCATAGTGCCTTATGCAAGAAAATAGCTTTCAGGAAAAATGTGTCAACAAAAAAGAAAACCCCATTTTAAGGAATGAGGGAGAAATTATCAAAAGATGCATGTAAAGACAGTTGCAGCCTATATAGAAATTCACTCTTTTGGTATAAACTTGATGTTTGTTATACCAATTCATAAAAAAAAAATGTAGAAACCAACTGGGTTTAAACGTATCATTACGCACAGCAAAAAAGCCTGTTGCAATTATTGAAAACATGAGGAAAAACTAGAAACCTCATCAGAGTGGTGTTGAAGTGCACTACAAAAGGCAGACGTCAAAACGAGTGTGCGCAGTTTATCTTCTGTCTCTTCCCTGACGTACTTGTCAGATGAGTCACTTTTTCCCATTAAATCAGAGACCTCGTTGCCACAATAGTCCAAGACAAAAATGTGTATCAGCGTCCTTTGATGCTCTGAAGTGTGTTCTGCAACTTTGCAAAGACACCACCGAGGTTTTACGCTGTGTGTCTTTAGCTGTCAGCCTTCGTCTTGACTTCTTACTTTAGTCACATTCAGACTGCCGTTCCTATGGCTATGGCAGGATATTTTAAACACAATACACCCTCCCCTTATTAATTCTAATTCGGGAAATTATTTATAACTCCAAGCTCTACTATCATTCTTGGTCATGCATTCATTTACCATCTCTCCATTGTCTCTGTCACCTTGGTTTCCTTTCTTACTTGTCACCCCAGCCATTTACATCAGCCTGTTAGCCCCTCGTCTGTCTCCCTGTTTTCACAGTGTCACACCCCGTGTCACTAAATTTAAATCACCCAACCACTCATTCTTTCGCCCTCTCGATTCATTACACAGTGCAGCCGCTGCAGTCTTACCCTTTCACAGAGAGAGCGGTTCCTCAGGCAGACACTGAGATCACAGTGTAGGTAGACTACTGAGTAATTAATCATTTGGAAGAGACTAATGGTGAAGCTGGAACTGGTTGACAGGGTACTGGGCAGCAGTGTGATCCACGCAGGCTCTGCTGCTAACCTGAAGCACCAACACAAACACAAAGGATAATGTTAGCTGAGTCATTTTTGCCTTGAAAGAAAAATGTAAAATGTCTGAGCAAGAATGACGATATTCTCCAGACAAGGTCTCCATACAGCTGTCACAAGCAATTAAAGTTGTATTGATGAATAACCACGGCAGGCAGAAAGGCAGCTTGCCATCAATATTTTGTATTGAATTGAGTTGAAATCTTAAGAGAAAATAAACCATATTAAGTAAAGGTCAGCTTACACTTAATGTTCCTTTCAGATTAGAGTCATAACTCATGGTGCACGATGTGAATAAGTTACGTGTTTATATATTACCCATTATCATTAAGAATGTATTCATCAGTATGCTGATGGCGGGTTTACTTTTATAAATTTGGGCGGATGTTAAATATTTTACTGTTTTCTTTTCATTTTACATGAAAGCGTTCTGTTCAGGTACACGGTAAAAATCAAAGAAAGCCTATTCAAAGTTTGACATATTTAAGAGGTTATGCTTTTATATTGCTGCCTCTCTGAGTCTGCAGGTGCACACTGCATTTCTATCTGCAAGATGCTGGCTCTGAGAGATAACAACCTACAGCAGTCCTCTGTTTACTAAGCAGAACATATTCAGCTTTTTAAAATGAACCTGCAACTCCCTGGTTTAATCTGAAATCCAATAACCTGGTTTCTCTAATAAATGTGTTTGTAAGCACTGGCAGTCTGTCCATGTTGTGTGAAGGCTTTTATAGAGGTTAGAAACGTTGCATTATTCATGGCCACATATCTATTATACGTTTATAGAAACCAAGAGTCCGATTTTTACCATTTATTTTGAAAACCTTATTCCAATTTCTGCTACATAAGGCAGCATATTAAATACAAAAGGCAGACAGTGCTTGTTTTCCTTTTCATGAAATGCAGTCCAGATGGCCACACATACAAGGCTAAATGTACTGTACATTTTACACTGCGTACATCCTGCAGACTGTATTTTCCCCAATTTCCTTGAAATAAAAACAAAGCAAACCCTACCCCTCTTAAAATAAACAACAACACTTCTTCCCAGAAACTTTATTCAGTACTTTCCGGTGTACCTGGAGAAAAGGCAGCAGGTGGAGTTGGTGGTGTCTGGCTGAATAGTTGGGGACAGACAACAGGAGGTGACCTTAAGGTTAATCTGACTATTGTTTGTCTTCAAGTTGATAACCACTCTGAGGTTGCCCAGGGCAGGCACAGCATCACCAGGCTCTACATTGCTCCCCATGTTCAGACTCATCTCTGCTGTGTAGTTCCCACTGCCACACAGGTCATCTGAAAATTCTGTTACACTGGCAAAAGATTTGTTTTATTTTAATTTGCAAAAGGAAACATTGTACTGTTTTTCCATTTACCAACACACCTCTTAAATTAAGGACCATACATTGAATGTACTTGTTTCAGGCAATACAAATCGGACATGTTCTATTACTGCTTACAATTGAAGAAATTTGTTTTAGTCGTTTTTAAAGATTCATCGCAGGCAGCAATTTATTTCCACAAAAGCAATGTCAACTTCATAGAATTTAAACTTGCTCGAGATATCTAATCCATCACAATGACTGATTTCACTGCTTGTATATTTTGTCAAAGTTGAACAGGTACTGTTTCCAACAAGATGAATTTAAGGATGCTCTGACATCTTATTTTACAAAACAAAATGTCAGCATGCTTACATACTCACTGTTAGGAACCTTGGCAGACACTTGGACTCAAACGCACGACTCAAAAGAAAGTTTGTTCAATAAAAGTCTTTACTTTGGAAAAGTATAAAGTTCAAACAAAAATCACTCCTGAGAGGCAAAACGTAGCAAAGCAAATTACAAACTAAATAAACTTGACTATGGTCACAAAGTACAATAATCTTTTGGCGAGACAAGCTGGCTCTCTAAATGGCACAAGGCACAAAACGAACTGGGACAGGACAAAGGGAGACAGGACTATTTATAAATGAGGTAAGGGGGAACAGGTGGAAACAATCAGGGGCGGGGCAGACGCTGACGATAACGGGAAAACACACAAAGGGAGGAAGTAAGGGGACCTGAAATGAGAGACAAGAGGTAAGTAAAAAAATAAAACAGGAAGTGCAATGACAGGACTAGACAGGTGAAAAAAAAGACTTGACTAAACATAAATCTAACCTGGGCTATGAACTAAACGTGAAACAATAACATGAACCTGATTAACATGACATGAATAATTTAGCAGACATGACGGGATGTTACAGGTTGTTTGTGAATAAACGACCATATGTAACGTTAGCATTCAACGGGAGCACTAGAGGGCGAAAACTTTAAAACGTAATTATAGGATGTATTAAGCGTTTGAACAAACGACATATTTGGTCATAAGAGCCTGAACAATCAGCCCACTTGTTGATTCAGCAGCAGCATTCAGGATTTTTTTTTACATTTCAAAGAAAAAATAACTGTTATAAAATGGTATTCTCCTCAAAGTTGCTTTAAATGATTGCAGTATATCTATGGCAAAGTAAGCCTGTAGCACTGCGTCTGTGTACAGCAAGTGTAAAGCCAGCCTTTACATCTGCTGATGTACTGTATAACACCCTGAGGAATAACCAGTGGTGCAGTGCTGATTGAGCTGCCTGGCTGCAGACGCTTCCTGACAGGGGAGGCAGCGCTGGATGAAGCTCTTTGATGAGGCCATGAAAAACCCATAGTGCAGGCAAAGCGGCATTCACACCCCCCATCTCCCTGGGAGTGTGCCCACCCTCTTTAGGGGGATAGTATACAGAGTTAGCTGATGCCCGGGGGTTTATGGGGATGTTGAAAGTATCCCTTCCCCCACGCCCCCTAACTGTGTCTCAGTTGGTTGTACAGTAATCTTGGTGACAACATGAAACCTTGTGACCCACTTGTCAGATAATGATAACAGTATTAGTCTTTGGGCATTTTCCATAAGTGATGCAGAAAAAGTGGAGAAACAGGCCAAAAGGCTCACACACACACACACACACACACACACACACACACACACACACACACACACCCTTATACAGTTGATGTTGGTTTTCCACAGATCCACACAGCTGCAGTAACTAAAGCAGTGTGAGCTGAATGTGGTCCACCAACATATCATATTTTTTAAGTAATGAAAATAAAGTGAGACGAAGCTCTTTGGTGTTAATTCAAAATGAAGTCACAGAAAAAAAAAAGTGAATTAAAGTTAGAATAGCAGTAAATGTTTTTATAAGTGCTGAGGCAATTGTACTGTTTTTAATCAGAATAATAGGCAAACACTCAATCACTGAATGAATAACGATGTACAGTAATTATCGCGTTTATATCCTTTGAGTTTAGGCTACATACAAGCCAAGCTTTGCAGACAGTTTCAATTGTTTGTGATACAACTTAGATAAGTCCTTGTTCTCCAGGTTGTATTGTCCTCAGTTTTAAATTGACTTTAACACCCTATAAATATTACGTACACATTTGTATTATAAGATTACAGCTGCCCTGGAATACAATAGTTTTAATGCTTAGTCATGCTTCACAATAACAAAATATTTAGACTGAACAAGATCAAGATTTCTGCAGAAATCTACCACAGCGGATCAATCTGAATTCTGTGTGTGTGTGTGTGTGTGTGTGTGTGTGTGTGTGTGTGTG